GGATGTCCCCTTTGTTCCACAGAAAGGACCCTGTCTTCCTGAACCCAAAGAAGAAGGACCTTGAAGACCCCCTGGCTCCAAGCGGAGTAGTGAGTCATATGGCGATACTCACATGGACTTGGCAATGAGAATTTGATTGTTGACAGCCAAGAACAGACTCTGTGAAGGAGACTGTGCCAAAATGCAACCGCATAATAAAGTATATTCTACTACCAATACTTAGTTTTTCTTCTCCTTGTCTTGGTTTCACAATTTTTTCTCTTCATTAACTTATGGAAAGTAAAGTGAATTATTTATATTTGTTATTATAAATGATCCATTCCTAGCCCTCTTTCTGCCAAGAGCTAAGACCTGCCTGGCATCCCATGGTGACGTGCAGCTCGGTTGCAGATTTTAGGTGATTTCATTGACTTCCAGGTGTGTGCCAGTGTTGGGGGAAGGCAATGTGACTTCTCAAGCCCAGTCCAAAAGAATAAACCAAGAAACCTAGAACCTGTACACAGGTTAATTCCTCATCCATACAGGAATACCTTTCCTGCTATCTTCCCAGTTCAGCTCCTGCTCATAGCCATGACAACCCACACCCTGTCCTCACATCATAAGCAGTGAGAAGTTTCTTTCCAGATGGGAGAAACAGGACAGCAAATGAGGTCCTTGCCTAATAAGGAGGGTCTTTGGGGATCTCATCTAGGGACCATTTTTCCTAAGGTCTTGTGACATCTTGTGCTATACAGGGTCCCTGACATCCTGACATCAAATGTGTTACTTAAATCAGAGATTGTCAATTGGTAGCCCAGAGGCCAAATCGATCTTGGAGATGTGTGTGTGTTGTTGTTGCTCTTTTTTGGCTTATACAGTATTTTCTATTAAAAATATGAATTATTTGCCAGCATTAAAATTTGTGAAGTTTCACATAACAACTCAGATTTCTACCTCCTTTGGAAAACTGGGAAGCACTGGTAACATGGATCTGCATTCCCACTTGGCAACGCAGCTCCCGACCTGACCTGAGTGAGTGGGTCCTCTCCAGCCCACACTGGTGGGATTTACTCCTTCTGTGACTAGTCGGTCCCTGGAGATTTGGGTTTGCAACTCTGTGCCCTCCTGGTCCAATAAACGCCAACATTCCAGAACTGCACAGGGCATGTGGGGAAAAAGATGAAGTGTTCAGGTCTAACCAGCAAACTCTGGTAGGTGGCAGGATAAGCTATTCTAATAAAATTTTTGTTTGTCTCTCTACAGATTTCCTAATTGTAAGCAATTCACCAGGCTTTGTACCTCCTCGCCTAAAGGATTTTGGTGGGGCAGAGAGCATAGCAGCCTGAAAATGAAGCTGATCTGTACTAAAAACCTAAGGCCACTGAAGAGATGATGGGTTGTCCTGGAGAGGGAGGGAGAAGGGAGAGGGCCTTGGAGAAGTGGTAAGGATGGGCCAGCCCCAGTAGCCTAGTGCTTAAGTTTGGCGCACTCTGCTTCTGCGGCCCGGGCTCAGTTCCTGGGCATGGACCTACACCACTCATCAGTGGCCGTGCTGTGGCGGTGGCTCACATACAAAATAGAGGAAGGTTGGCACAGATGTTAGCTCAGGGCTAATCTTCCTCAGCAAAAAAAAAAAAAAAAGTGGTAAGGTGGGGAGGGCAAGCCCCTGCCAAGTAAGGGCAGAGATGTCTGGGGGCTCCTCAAGGGCAGCAGGGCCCATCACCCAGGCCACGATAGCCTCCTGGAGGTGGCCACATGGAGGGGTGGCAGGAGAGACAGGACTCTGGCCCCAGAGCCCCAGCACCAGCAAAGACACCATGTCCCATGAAAGCCGGAAAGCAGGGCCTGCTGGGCTTCGAGAGACATGCTCGCTTGACAACGGGGGTCAGCCATGACTTCTCTCATAAGCCTTGGGGATTCTGACACAACCTTGAAAGGACAGCCCTCAAAACAGACTGGGGTGAAAAGGAACGAGGGACTGACACACACTACAACAGGGATGACCCTTGAAAACATGCCAAGTGAAAGAAGCCGGTCACGAAAGACCACGTATTGAATGATTTCATTTATGTGAAATGTCCAGAATAGGCAAATCCATGGAGTCATAAAGCAGATTAGTGGTTGACAGGGGCTGGGGGAGGGGGAATGGGGAGCGACTGCCTGATGAGTACCAGGTTTGTTTTTAGGGTGGTGAAAATGTTCTGAATTAGAGAGTGGTGATGGTTGCACAACATGGTGAATATACTAAAAGACACTGAATTGTAGACTTTAAAATGGTTAAAATGGTGAATTTTATGTTATGTAAATTTTATCTCAATCAAAAATTTTTTAAAAACCGAGATGGAATTTTTTACCACCCCAGTGGGATGGTGACCTGAAGTTAAAGTTACGATGATTCAGGGGCTGGCCCAGTGGCATAGTGGTTAAATTCACACACACTGTTTCTGCGGCCCAGGGTTCAAAGGTTCCAATCCCGGGCGCTGACCGACGCACTGCTTGGCAAGCCATGCTGTGGCGGCATCCCATATAAAGTGGAGGAAGATGGGCACGGATGTTAGCCCAGGGCCAATCTTCCTCAGCAAAAAGAGAAGGATTGGCAACAGGTGTTAGCTCAGGGCTGATTTTCCTCAGGCACACAAAAATAAATAAGATGATTTAAAAGAAGAAAAGGAGATGTTGGTTTTTCCTTTGAATGAATGAATGAATTCCTGTTACCTAACTCTAAGAAAAGGAGACTGAGTCAATATCCTGAGACACAGGGGGACACAAGTTTACCTGGGATGGAGCCTTCTAGAGACAAGGACATGCAATGTATTAGGAAGCGAAAAAACACTGCCCAGGGGGACAAAGGGGAGAGTGGTGCTGGCCAGGGAGGGTTTGAAATATTTCCAGACCTCTACTGCCTCAGCTGGGAGAGCTCACCCCGATTCTGATCAAGTATCTGTTAAGCATCGTTAATAGTATGTGACACTGATTTGGGGGCTCCCTGGGGAATTTTAGGTGTCCAGTGTAAGAATCCAAGGGGCTTTGATAGTAGAGGATTTGTGACTTGATAGCAGGGTCTGTCAGACAGCACTGGGTCCCCGCGAGGGAAGCTTATTCCTGGTGGTACAGCTGCTGCAGCCGTGGCCCCCATGTCCCTGAGGAGGGCCATCACAAAGGCTCTGTGCTCTCTCCGAGCTAGGGACAGGGGTCTGGATGGCTTTATCTCAGCTGTAGTGTCCATTACCGTGAGTCTCCTGGTGACCGCAGCAGCCCCTCTCAGAGGACTCTAATGTAGACAGCCCCGAGGGTCATTGTCTTAGTGTGGGTTTCCCTGAGCAGAGCAGACCCTGACACAAGGACTCGAGTAGTTAAGTAGTTAATCTGGGAAGTGATCCCAGGAAGCACTGGGAGGGAGCAGGGACTCTGGGAGGCTCAGTCCTTACCTCCGACCAGGTCCTGAAGGCTGTCGACTGGCCGCTGGAATGCTTCTAAGGCCAGCTCCAGGCCAGTGCTTTGGTATTACGCTCTCCTTTCCCATGCCCACTATTTATTGCAAGAGCCTCCTCGCTGATCTTCCTACTCTCCAACCGCCTTACACCTGACGCCAAACGTAATTTTCCCAAAGCGTGTTGTGATCATGATGGTTCCCTGCTCAAGTATCTTTGGTGCCTCCTCCTGCCTGTGTGATGGAGTCTGAAGCTCTGGGCCTTGTATCCCAGCCAGGCCCTGCACTAGGAGCAGGGAGCATAGCAGTGCCTGCCCCCATGCAGCTGGCCGTCTGGTTGGGGAGGCGAGCAATGACAGTAGGCTGTGGTCAGGGGTATGGTAAGAGAGGGAGAGAGTGTTCTAGGACCCAAAGCAGATATGCCAAACACAGTCTTGGGTCACAGGAGACTTTTGATGCAGAGACTGTTGTTCCTGCATGGGATCCATTCTCCCCCTCTTCCTAACAGATATCCTGCTTTATTGAGAGTGGCAATGGCTCCAGCTAAACATCACCACACTCCCCAGACTTCCTTGCAGATAGAAGCGGCCAGCGAGAGATAAATGGAAGTCTTTGCAGTTTCCAGAAAAGCTCTTTACAGGAACCTGATTCAACAATAGGCATGCCTTTTCCCCTTTTGTCTTGCCTACTTCCTGCAGTCTGGTGCTGGTGTGATGGCTGAAACCACAGTGGCCAAATTGTGACTATGAGGGAATCCTGAAGATGGACGCTGTATGCTAAGGATGGTGAGCAGAAAGATAGAAGGAGCCTGGGTCCCTGATGACCCTGGAGTTCTCAACCCAGTTCTGGACTGACCACCTCCAGATTTCTTTTATGGAAGAAAAAGTAAACTTCATTCTAGTTTAAGCCATTGTTATTTGGTTTTCTCTTATATTTGCTGAACTGAATCTGAATGAATGCAGTGTCCTAGAGGATGTGCAATCTGAAGCATTAGCAGAAGTTAAGTAGGAGAACTGGTGTGTAAGGGGCTACAGGTTGGGATTAGAGGGACCAAGGAGGAAATGTTTTCCAGGCAGAGGGAGATGTTCATAGGCCTGGAGGAAAGGCAGAATATAGTTGGGTGTGTCTGAGGACAGCAGAAAAGGGGTAGAAGGAGACGCAGCCTGAAATAAGAGCAGGACCAAGACCACGAAGGACCTTGTAGCCTTGAAAAAGTTGGACTTAACTCAAGGGAGAGGGCGCGCTGCAGGGGTGGTGAGGTTTGATCTGTAGGAAGAGCCCTCTGGTGCTGAGGTAGTGGGGCTGGATTGGAGGGAGCAGGAGTTGAGGGGGACCAGTTAGGCGGCGGCTGCTGTGGTCAGACAAGAGGTGAAATTGACTTGTTCTTGGGAGTGGCCGTAGGACTGGAGAGAAATGGACAGGCTGAGACTTGAAAAGAGTGCCTTCATAGGAGTTGGTGGCTGACGAGATTTGGAGGAGAGAGAGCTGGAGGAGTCGAGGATGAGGAACCGCAGACAAGACAGGAAAGAGACCTGGGATTGGGACCGGAGAGGAAAAGAGGGTCAGGGCCGGAGGCAGGGAGCCTGAGGCGATGCAGGGTCAGCCGCGGAGCGAGTGCAGGCCCCGCGGAGGCCACGGAGGGAGCCCGGCCTGGAGTCGGAAGAGCGGCCAAGCACACACTCGCGCGGTGCCGCCTTCAGAAATGCCCTTGACCTTTTGCATTCAACTCTCAACGTAAACCGGGGATGTTGTCAGCTAATGCGTGTAGACGCTCCTGGCCTAGCAGATGCTCCATCACTGTTAACTGAATCTGAAATGTCGCTCCACGTGTCCCCTTAGACCTCTGCTCTCTTACCGTTTTCTGTCGTTTCTCTCACCTGTCAAGAGTCTGAGTCAAGTCACAGCCCCCAACCCTTTGCTGTGGCTCCAGGGCAGCCCAGAGGAAAGCCCCTCACCGTCCTGGAGCCTCACTGAGCGGTCCCCGAAAACTTTCTTCCCGTTTTACAAGAGGACAAGCCGGAGGCTGGGAGGCGGAGCTGAGTTAGGACCCAGGTCTCCCGGCTCCGGGATCCGCGCTCCTCGCGCCGCAGCACCTGGCCTCCTGCCGAGGGAGCGGGCGGCGGGCTGGGCCGGGACGGTGGTGCTGTGCCTGCTCCTGCGCGCTCCTCCC